AATTGGTAAGACTGTTGCTAACTTGCCTTTATAGTGATGTTACCCAGAATACTAATACTGTATTTCAAAAACCTACTGGGCATGAAATACATGATAGAAGATCAATTAAACGCTCTACCATCTGGAAAGTTTCTACTCAAACTAGACCTTGTTGAAAATTTATTACAACAATTTCGCAAATATTTTGTTTTCGTGGAAAGTCGTAGAAGAGGTATTGAAGATACTTCTGGATTAATGAACTTTCACCCAACTGTTCATCCGCAACAACCTCAACATCCAAACGTAGATAGTCTGATCAGACCACGCCTAAATTCATCAGACTTGAAACTTCCAGCGGCGCCGAAGCATCCTAATGATAGCTCAGGTGCTTCTGGTAGCTCATCGATCCCTACAAAAAAACGCCCATTTTCAGTCGACCAGGAAGTACAGCAATCGAATAAGAAGCAGCAACCCAATTCTAATAGTATTCTTAACCGCTCTGCATCTGATGGCTCGACTATCAGCATTCAAAGTACTTCGGCAACTAATGCATCTAGTCAAAACAACCCTATCGTAATTTTAGATGATGCAAAACAAATTGTATCTGAAACTCAAGAAATAGGCGTCTCTGATAAAAACAGTGCCACTACTGAAGATTATCATGCAGGCTCGCAATTGCTTACGAATAAATTGAAAGGTATTTCACCGCGAGTAATGCGTAGTGGTCCGACAATGGCACCAAGGCAAGGATATTCCCCATGCGAAGAGAGTGAACAGAGAGCTATGTTGGTCTCTTTACTCAACACTGCTTAATGTGTACTATTGACATAACTAACTTGATGACGTTGTCATTGAAGTTCTGAGTAATAATTATTTTGTGGAAATCTAAAATTTTATTCTATTTCATTTTGTTGCATAACTGCTTTTAACATAATAACTTTAAACATGTAAATAGCCATTTATTTTATTTTTTTATTTTTTTTTATTTTTTTGTACCGAGAATTAAAGATTTTCTCGAGTGCGTAGAAGTAGCAATTAAATAACTTTTTTTTTTCAATAAATGAATATAATTTGCTGACGAGTATTCGAAACTGCGCACATTTATCTGTTGTCGTTATATCATTTGATCTTTTCGGACATATGATCGATTTGTGATTCTTGGTCATGTAACACTATACAGTCAACCCCCCTCTATAGTCACCTCCTCTATAGTCACAAAATTAATATAATTGCAAATTTATTTTTACCAATTGTTTATAACTTTTCAAATTTTAGTTAGGGTTAGATTTTTGGGAGTTCTGAATATTTTTGTTTAATACTTCTGACATGTGTTAGCTAGTAGGTTTTTGAAATACAGTATTAGTATTCTGGGTAACATCACTATAAAGGCAAGTTAGCAACAGTCTTACCAATT